AACTAAATAAATAAATAAAATCTAAAAAAAAAAAGTTTAAAATATATTCATTAGTGATAACATACATTTTTAAGAAATGGGTAACAGTTCCTTGGACTGCCCAGAGTACTTTGCTACAAGGCCTCAGGAATTATTAGCCAAAATGTTAAATGTTCCTTTGTGTGATCAGTCCTGTGGTGTAAGAGTCACAAAAAATCTTTGGGTCTGAGACATTGACACCTGTTCAATGCAGCTATATTACCCAACTAGCCTAGAGAAAGCTCCATGGCAGTGGTTCTCACATTTTAATAAGCATAAATATTATCGAGCAGTCTTGTTAAAATAGCAGATTTCTAGGTACAACCCCCTAGAAATTCTGACTTAGGAACTTTAGGGTGGGGTCCAGGAATCGAGTATTTAGCAAACTCCCTAGGTATTTCTGGCATAATTGACGCAAAGCCCCATGCTGCAAACCTGCTGTTTTTTGTTAATTTCATGAGCAGTATAAAATATTGACCTTCACTCAGTCATAAAGTCTTTGGTTTCAACTAAACAGCTTAACAGATTAGCTGGAGCCTATTTGGAGTCTTTTTTTTTCCCCCCCTAAGATTTTACTTTTTAAGTAATCTAAGCTCAAGGTGGGACTTGAACTTAGAACCAGATCAAAAGTTGCAAGGTCAGACAGGTACCACCTTATCTGGAGTCTTAAGGAAGAAAAATTGCTTGATACGCCAGAGGCCTTATTTCATCTATTGCTTATTCTTTTTTTCTGAAGTGATAATGTACTAACAAAGGTAGGTGTGTTGTTTGAATTTTAAAATGGTAATTCTACTTTCCAGCATGTACTCTCTCAAAAAAATGTGGCAAAGAAGAGACTTACAGAGAAATAAAAAGCTCTTGCAAAATATAGTAGTCCAACCCTGCAGTTCGGTCACTGCACCCGTGCCAAGATTATGCAAAAACAGTTATACAACTTTTGTAGATGAATTTTATACAGCTAATATTATGCAGCTAAAGATTCAAATACCCAAAGGTACTTTAAGAACATTTAAAATTTTTTTTTAATTTTTTTTTTTAAAGATTTTATTTATTTATTTGATAGAGACAGCGAGAGAGGGAACACAAGCAGGGAGAGTGGCCAGGGAGAAGCAGGCTTCCCGCTGAGCAGGGATCCCGATGTGGGGCTCGATCCCAGGATCCTGGGATCGTGACCTGAGCCGAAGGCAGATGCTTAACGACTGAGCCACCCAGGCGCCCCAAGAACATTTTAAATCTTGAACATAATTCTAACTCAGTAGCATAGCTGTTGTTTGATGAAAGACCAACCATGCAGGTCAGCCTTTTTTTTTTTTAAGATTTTATTTATTTGACACAGAGAGAGAGTACAGGCAGGGGGAGTGGTAGGGAGAGGGAGAAGCAGGCTCCCACATAGCAGGAAGCCCAATGTGGGACTCAATCCCAGGACTCTGGGATCATGACCTGAGCCAAAGGCAGATGCTTAACCAACTGAGCCACTTAGGTGCCCCAGGTATATTCACATTGTAGTAAACCCTAAGCTTCCTTGTTGTTTTGTTGTCTCTTGGTAGCCTATATTCATACCACTCATGTTGGGCTTTTTTCATTCTCTTTTATGCTGGCGGACCTGGTTCCAGGAATGGAGGAACGTAGGAGTCGAGCAGCTGCGGCTTAGCACAGTAGACATGACTGGAGTTCCAACCTTGGCTAACCTCCAGAAAGGAGTCCAGTTTGCTCTCAAGTACCAGGCGCTGGGCCAGTCTGTCTATGTGCATTGTAAGGCTGGGCGCTCCAGAAGTGCCACTATGGTGGCAGCATATCTGATTCAGGTAGGAAAGGTCTTTCTGGACTGGTCTATTTACAGCATATTTCTAGAACTTCAGTAACATGGTCTACTAGAAGGCCTTGGTGGCAGGAGCCATGTCCCCAGTTTCAGACTGTTGGGACGTGGAAAGCACCTGAAGCTTGCAGATAGGCTGATCTCTGGCTTTGCCACCTAACAGCTGCGTGACCTTAGGCAAAAGTGGCTTCCCCTCTCCGATCCTCAAACTAAATGTGTCATGAAGCTTGAATGAGAAAGTATGTCAAGCATTGACCTACCTACAACAGGTACTGAAAAATGAAGTTGCAAAGGATGTTAACACCAGAAAAAGGCTAAAATAAAAGCACTTCTTATAAATAGCATGTCAGAAGATCTAGTACTATAGATAATAGTGCTAGTCACTTACAGCTCTGTAGGGCTCAAGATTTCTTAAAGTATTTCAGAATAAAGTTCCAGATATTAGTTTCTAGAAACAGAGGATCCAATGAACTTTTGTCTATTACTTTACGAACAGCAGTTGTGAGGCTTTTAAGAATATTTATAAGCAAATACTCTGTAGTCCCTTACTCCCTGTTACACAACTCCCAACTTGACTCATTTTTGTTACCTGTCTGGCCCCTGTAGAGCATTTTACTAAGTTATGTGGATAGTTTAAGGAAAAAGGAAATGTAGAGATAACAGCCTGGCTTTGAGTTACTGTGGACTGGAAAGTATGTGATTTAACAGTATTAAAGCTTTGATCATTAGGACTCCATTTACTGGAAATGGGTGCTCAGGAGGATAGTTTGGATTTAGTGAGAATTGACCCAGCTGGGCTTGAAATCTGTAGTTTCTCGGTTTTATTGAGTTCTAAACCTGACGACACAGAAGTAACCCTCCTACTTAAAGCTAAAGAGTGCTGTTTTCCTAGCCGAGGTGGCAAGTTGGGTAAAAACATCTACCATATACTCTCTCCAGGAAACTCACAACCAACAGCCCAGCTCCCAGAGGACATCTAATAGGCCCATGCAGGCTTGAATTAGGATCTCAGCTTTGCATGTTCAACCTTGTTTTTCCAGGGTTTGGCAGAGCAAGAATTAGGTAGAAAGACTGACTTGTTCCCTCAGCCTATTGCGAAGTATTGTAGGATTGGTTGACTGAGGGGGTTATAGTACCCACCCCCATTTATAACATTTGGGACATGTTTTTTAAATCCCCCTCAAAATGAAGTTTTTAAAATAATGAAATTCTGAGAGTCCATTAGCACCTGTTATTAGGTCAAGGACACCTTAACACCTGCTCCTTTCTTTCTCTGATTTCCCAATCCTGTACTTCAGGTGTACAACTGGAGTCCAGAGGAGGCTGTAAGAGCCATCACCAAGATCCGGTCACACATCCACATCAGATCTGGCCAGATGGAAGTTCTCAAAGAGTTCCACAAGGAGATTACTGCAGGGGCAGCAAAGGATAAGACTGGTCATACATCACAGACGTGAAATACACAGATTAGAAAGAACTCAAGACAACCCTGCTTGCTACAGAATCAAATAATTTTAACAGGACCAAGGGGACTTAAGCCCAGACTTGACGTAGCAGAAGTGTGCTAATTAATGGATAATTTTGCTCCCTTTGTCTTGTTTCACTTTCCTGACGTAACACTGTTGTGTGTCTAGAGAGATTTAGTGTGGCTTCAATTCACTGGTTATGGGGATATGGGACGAGGGTCCTTGTTTTCTTAAATAGGGTCAAAGAAATCTATTGTGTATCTAACACTCTGGCTAATGATATTTAGCACGACTCAGAAACATTTAACACTGGGAAAAGAGGAGAAATACTCAGCTCAGTTGTCAGACCCCGATTCACTGGCCTCATGGGCTCTCTTCCCCTTTTGGAGCAGTGATCCTGTATGTAGAAAAGGAAGTACAGGATCCAATCCTGTACCTGTGGCGGGTATATAATCTGTTTACCTTAGGAAGTCACTCCTTCAGAATTCAAAACACACACACATATCCCTTCCAAAACTTTTATTTGTATGAAGAGTTCCTAGCTCTTGGCTTACCTTAGGGCTTTTAAAAGAGTAAAGACCTTATATACTTAAATTTGAAAAAAGTTTCTGCTATTAATCAGAAATAATACTATTTCTTTCTGGCTTACTCCTTGGAGTAAATAAAAAATAAAACCAAAGTGTTAGGCGCCTGGGTGGCTCAGTCGGTTGAGCATCTGTCTTCGGCTCAAGTCATGATCCCAGGTCCTGGGATCAAGTCCTACACTGGGCTCCCTGCTTGGTGGGGAGTCTGCATTTCCCTCTGCCCCTCCCCTACTCGTTCTCTCTCTCTCTCTCTAATAAATAAAAAGAAATCTTGAAAACAAAAACAAGAGCAAAAAAACCAAAGTATTCACTGGGTATTTATCCCAAAGATACCAATGTGGTGATTTGAAGGGGCACCTGCACCCCAATGTTTATAGCATTAATGTCCACAATAGCCAAACTATGGAAAGAGCCCAGATGTCCATCGACAAATGAATGGATAAAGATAATATGGTATATATATATAAACACACACACACACATATACATACAGTGGAATATTACATAGCCATGAAAAAACCTGAAATCTTGCCATTTGCAAAGACATGGATGGAATTAGAGGGTATTCTGCTAAGTGAAATAAGTCAATCAGAGAAAGACAATTATATGACCTCACTGATAGGCAGAATTTAAGAAACAAAGCAGAGGATCATAGGGGAAGAGAGGAAAAAAATGAAACAAGATGACAGAGAGGGAGACAAACCATAAAAGACTCTTAATCTTAGGAAATAAGCAGGGTTGCTGGAGGGGAGGGAGTGGGGGAATGGGGTGACTGGGTGATGGACACTGGGGAGGGTATGTGTTGTGGTGAGAACTGGGTATTGTATAAGACTGATGAATCAACAGACCTGTACCCCTGAAACAATACAGTCTAAGGAAAAAAAATAAATAGCATGTATATTGAGGAAAAAGAAAAACTCCAGGGGCGCCTGGGTGGCTCAGTCGTTAAGTGTCTGCCTTCAGCTCGGGTCATGATCTCCAGGTCCTGGGATCAGGCCCCACATCCAGCTCCCTGCTCAGCGGGAAGCCTGCTTCTCCCTCTCCTACTACCCCTGCTTGTGTTCCCTCTCTGTCAAATAAATTTTTTAAATCTTGGGGAAAAAAAAAAAGAACCCCCCCCAAAAAAAACCAACCAAACAAAATCCCAAAGTGTTGATTTCCTGAGAGAGAGGTGAGAAAACAGGAGATGTAGTGTCCTGAATTCTAGAGTTGGCGCTTGCTGGTGAAGGACACCTTCAGCTTAGACCATTCTTCCAACCAAAGCCTGAAGGAAAACTCTAACACTTAATTCTTTGTGGGAAAATTACCAATTAGCCACTTAGCAGGTTATAGAAAAAAGGAAGATGGGGGTATCTTTCCTTTTGTCCTGGGATCAGCGGTGCTTCCACTTGACATTGATCAGGGAACGAGAGGCGGCTGTGCCTCTGGTCTGAGAAATGGCTTACTCGGAGCCATCTGCAGGGAGGCACAGGGTTACCAGGGGACAGCCCAGGACAGATGGCCTACTCTTGGAGCAGCCACCTGAGCAGCAGCAGTCTAAAAAGCCCCAAATGAAACACCCCTATAGGTTCAGGAAAGACTGAGGTGCTGCCCTTTCTAACATGTGCCCAAAAAATAACATAGTACTCTGATCAGGGCCCCAAGGACTTGGAATTTGGATGGATAGGTGCTGGAAAACGGGAGGGTAAAAGTCAGCTGCTCTTCCCCCCACAGCCTTAGGCCAACACAAACTGCAAATTAGTTAGTAGCACCTTAATGCCTCTGGTGACAGTTACAGCTGATGTGGCAGGGTCAAGCTTGTAGGTGTTAGCATCCCCCTTTTTATATCGGTCCCGAAAAACATAGATGCTTCCATTACAGCTGGCGATCTTCCAGAGGGATGGGGCAGAGCTCCAGGCCTCAGGAAGGCAAAGCCGGGTAAAGCTGTCTAGCAGGGGATTGTAGCACACCAGGGAGTCCCCTTCAGCCACGATGAACACTAGATCCTTATGCACAGCTGCGTGCATGCGACCTGCGAAGGGCAGAACATAGGGCTTCACATGGCATTTGTCTGTCTCTGTGTCAAAGCACTGGATGAGTCGGGAAGGTTTGGTAAAGAAGTCCAGGTCATTCTCCTCCCCCCCCAGTAAGTAGATGATCCCGTTAAGGTTGGCACCAGCAGCCCCTGACACAGCCACCTCTAGCTGGGTTGTCTCTGTCCAGACGTTATCACCTACCCGATAATAGATGACTGCATTGGAGAGGGTATCCTGCAATGTCTTGCCACCCAGTGAATAGATAGCATCTTTCCCAGGCACAGACACCAGGGTGTGCTGGAGCCGGTCCCGGGGCAGAGGCGCACACCACTCCCAGTCCACAGTGGCATTGTTGCACTTCCACATGCGCCGTGGGATGGACCCTCCCACCACGTATAAGTCTCCACCATGCTTACAGGCTGCAGTGATCTGGTGGCACAAGCTGTTTTGGCCACTTACACTGATGGAATCATCTTCTGCACAGTGTAAAGACACAGCCAACGAGTGGGTACGAGATGACTCTTTGCCGATCAGGTAAATGTGCACATTCTCCCCGATCTCCTATAGGCAAAATTAAAATCACAGATGACATCTATCAGTTCTAGGCTAAGGCTCAGCTGAGACACCTACCCTTAAGGTTCTGGACCACACACGTGAATCCTGCTCTAACCTACTACCCTCAAGTTACTGTGTGTCATCCTGATGTCCTCCAGTCACTTTCTTTCAGACATTTTATGCTGGGGCAGAGAATCTTTTGTTTTCATTCCAAGTGGGTGCTTTAGAAAAAAGGTGCTTAGGATAATGCAATAGTGAAAGTAGTTCTCTCAAGGAACTTTGTGGAGCTCAGAGGCTGGTGGTTTCTGGGCTCATGCAGACATCCTCCTCCCCAGTGCTTAACTTTGAGCCAGAGATGACTCATTCACCAGCTATCAAAGAGGCCAGATTAATAGCTGGAATGCATAGATATTATGGTGTCCCAACTCTACAGAGAAATTTGCCTTACCTTCAAGCTAGTTCTGAGTGACTCAGCAAAGGCCTCTCTTTCTTCTTTATTGAAATTGATCCAGGCTTCTATTGCCTCTGTTGGGTTCTGGGAACATGGAACTCCATCTGTGAGAGTCAAAGGAAAGACACGGTCAATGGCAATCCAATAACCCAAAAGGGAAATTTAGAGCCAGTGTGAATCACTTTGTTGGACTATCACTGTGTGTGTGTGTGTGTGTGTGTAAGAAATAAACCTAAATTGCTTACCTCACTTGCACAGTCAGGATTGTTTTTGTTTGTTTTTTAAAGATTTATTTACTGGGCACATGGGTGGCTCAGTTGGTTAAGTATCTGACTCTTGGTTTTGGTTCAGGTCATGATCTCATGGTCGTGAGATCAAGCCCCACATGGGGCTCTCTGCTTAGTGCAGAGTCTGCTTCAGATTCTTTCTCCTTCTCCCTCCCCCTCTGCTCCTTCCCATTTGCACCCTCACATACGCACTCTCTAAAATAAATAAAATCTTTTAAAAAAAGATTTATTTGAGAGAGCATGCAAGAGCGCGGGGGGGGGGATGCAAAGGGAGAGGCAGAGAGGATCTCAAGCAGACTGACTCTTTGCTGAGTGCAGAGCCCCACATGAGGCTTGATCTTACAACACCAAGACCAGAACCTGAGCTGAATCCGTGAGAATAAAGCTCATCAATCAACCCACCCAGGCACTCCCAGGGTCAGGATTGTTAGCTAAAGTTGGCTCTTCACTTAAAATGTCTGTTATGTGGATATCTTTTTTTTTCTCAAAACTTTTTTTTTAAAAGATTTTGTTTATTTATTTGACAGAAAGACACAGCGAGAGAGGGAACACAAGTAGGGGGAGTGGGAGACAGAGAAGCAGGCTTCCTGCTGAGCAGGGAGCCTGATGTGGGACTCAATCCCAAGACCCCGGAATCATGACCTGAGCCGAAGGCAGACATTTAATGACTGAGCCACCCAGGAGCCCCATCTTTTTTTAATATTTTATTTATTTATTTGACAGAAAGAAAGACAGACAGCGAGAGCAGGAACACAAGCAGGAGGAGTGGGAGAGGGAAAGCAGGCTTCCCGCCAGGCAGGAGTCCGATGCGGGGCTCAATCCCAGGATCCTAGAATCATGACCTGAGCCAAAGGCAGAGGCCCAACCATCTGAGCCACCCAGGTGCCCCTGTTATGTAAATATCTTAACTCATCATCAATTTACTTAGGTAATCAATCTCATAGGTACAGGGAAAGTGCAGGATAGATGAGAACATTTATATACAAAACAGCTCCTCACTACCTTTTGGGGATAAGCACTGCTTCTTTTTTTTTTTTTGATTCAATACTTGTATATAGTTGACCCTTAAAAAACACGGGTTTGAAGTGTGTGGGTACGCTTACATGCAGATTTTTTTTCAATAAATGCAGTATAGTACTGCAAATGTATTTTCTCTTCCTTATGATTTTCCGAATAACATTTTCTTTTTTCTAGTTTTATTGTAAGAACACAGTACATAATACATACAACATACAAAATATATGTTGATTTCTTATGTTACTGATAATGCTTCCGATCAATAGTGGGGATTTGTGAAGTTTGAGGGGAGTCAAAATTATACACGGATTTTGACCATGCGGAGGTCGCAATCCTTATCCCCACACTGTTCAAGGATTAATTGTGTATCACAAAGTACTGCTTTTCTTTTTCAGGGTTCTTCCTCTGGAAAGGACTGCCTACGACAGCAGCTAAAATCTCACCTCAGTCTCTAAGGGATCTAAATTCCTACCAGGAATAATAATGTAAATTAATACCAGAAAGTCTGAAGATTCCTTTCTCCTGAACTAGAATCTCCACTAAACGTCATACCCAACTAGTTGAGTATGATGTGCCCCTCCACCTCAACTTACCCGAGATGATATCAGTGAGTAGATGGTGGGGCAGGTGGAGAAATTCCTCTGTGCTCTGCAGCTGGGCCAGGTGGGCCTTGGCACAGTGTTTGGCAGAGGTGTAGAGCTCAGGATCACTGTGCCTGTCTGCCAGCCACATCACCTGAAGGCAGTTCCCCACCTGCACTGTGCGGGCCAAAAACCGAGAACATTCCTCAAAGAGAGAGGTCAGCTGATACATGTCTGACACCTCATAAATTTCCTGTAGTTCTTCAGCTCGAAGTTTCACAGTCCCGTGGTAGATATAATCCACCAGGAGCTGGAAAACCGATTCGCTGACATCCTGCAGTACAATCACTCGGTTGTGAGCCTCCTTCAGGTTCGAAGTGAACATGGACCGGAAAAAGCAGCTCTGAGCTGAGAGGACCAGCCGGTGGAGCTGAAACTCCCGGCCTTCCACTGAGATGGTGACATCAGCAAAGAGCTCTTCCTCCAGACACAGTTTCATGATGCCCTGAGCCACACGGCCGGAGTGTGACCTATCTTTAAAAGTGTAGTTCACAAAGTAGTTTTCATCCATGGATGCTCCAGGCTCCTCTGGTGATTCCATGGTAGCCAACTTCTCTCTCTGCCAGCTGTCTGCAAAGCAACACCACCCTGAGTAATGGGGAATCCACAGTCTATGAATCCAACTGCTCAATTCAGGGAGGGAGAAGGTAAAAGACACAGCAAAGTGGGTGGAGATTGGCCTTAGTCCTAATGACATCTCGGAAGCTCTCCTCTAACCAAAACTGAGTTCATTCTCCTGCACTGGCACTCCATCCCTAATGAAATCAGTAAAATTTCCTATTCTCGGTGTTTTCCTAAGAAAACATAATATTCCTTTCCATGATGTAACAAAAGCCTCGGTATTTAGGCCGACATGTGAAAGCCAGGCGCTGGCGGAAGCTTAGGATCTTAAGCCTGGCAAAAAGCCTTACTAACCAAATGACTATTGGGCACAAAACTAGTGACGTTCTGGGCAGCAGAACCCGACAAACAGACCCCCGCTTTCCTGTGGCAAAGGTCCCTCTTCCCCCGCGAATGGAGTTCAGACTTCCCAAAATGAGGCTTGCCATGGGATATGGATTAGCCCCACATTTTCTCTTTTCTGCTTCTCTCCTGCACTTCCCTGCTCGCCCTAAAGACTCCCCAAGACTTCGTCCCAGAACGCGAGGAAGCCCAGTCCTCCCTAGCCTGGGGCATTAGTAGGCCCTTCACCGAGAGCTGTGTCCCCGCGCCACCTGGAGTCGCCTAGGAAACGGTCGCTAGGGAAACCGTTCATCTCTCCACCGCCCCCGACTCCCCTCCACGCCCCCTCCCGGCGCCCGCCGGCCCGCGTCAAAAGCTTAGCTCCAGGAGCGGGGGAGGGGAGTGGAATGTGGAACCCAGAACTCCCGCCTCTTCCCCTCCTCTCACCCGTCGGGTTCTTTAGGGTCCTCGCTTCCTCTCCAGCCTCTGCTACACCAAACTAAGATCACGTTCACCTCACGGTTTCCCCACCTGCCTGCCTCGGTTTCTCACCTGCCTTCCCTCCTTTCATTCCTAAGCCCGGAATCCGGAACCTCTGCTTTCCGCCCCGCGTCCGCCCGGAAGAAAATCAGACGCACACTTCCGCTTCCGGTCCGTGCCCTTGGGGCTCCGTGCCCTGTGGGTCTTGCCTTGGCTGCCTGGTTACATCGGGGAACATGGCGGCGGCGGCGGCGGCGAGGGGCTGGTGGCGGGGCCTTGTGGGGTCCGTGGCGCTGGCCAGGGGTAAGCTGGGGGCAGCTGGCTGAGGCCCGGGGCGGGAGCGGAGGCGCGCTTAGCGAAGGGAGCCCATCAAACCTCACTTCGCGCTTGTGTCTTTTTATCTTCCGGTGCAGGGGCCGGGCGACCTTCGGTGCTGTTGCTGCCGGTGAGGAGGGAAAGCACCGCGGCCGACACGCGCCGTGAGTATGTGCGGGCCGGGCCCTTCTCGGGACTGTAGACGGGGGCCCCTTCATTCTTTCCGTCAGGTGTTTGCCCTGGGTTGCCCTTCCCTGTGTCCTCTGTCAAATCTCTGCTCGTGGAGACCTGACTGTAGTAGGTCTCATTCTGCGAGCAGAATCGGGCTCTCCCTGTGTTCTTATGTCTCCCTCTTATGGCCCTGATTACCCCTTGTCCGTTTCCGTGATTCCTTTTCTCTCTGATTAAACTATCAGCTCTTTGAGAGCAGAAAACAACGTTCGGGTCTTAGAGCCCTGTTAGGATAGTAGCTCACATTGAGTACTTGTATGTTAGGCAGCTTTCTAAGTGGTTTAGCGAATTATTTTATTTAGTCTTCAGAACAATCTTAAGAGGTAGATAGCATTGTGATCCTCCTCCTGTGGATTAGGAAACAATTCAGAGAAGTAACTTGCCCAGAGTCACAGAGGTAGTGAGTGGCAGCAGGCCTGCCTGCTGAACCATGGTGTGTGCAACCTGTGATGTGTGCGTACTCAGTGATTGAGGGATGCGTGAATGGGTGTACGGAGATATATTACAATCGACATCAGCAGATAGAGTCAGGAGACCTGGCATTTCCTCCTTTTGGACCTCAGTTTACGCATCAGTGGGGGAAAAAGTTGTTGTTGTTTTTTTAAGATTTTATTTGAGAGAGAAATTGCAACACAGCGAGAGAGAGCATGAGTAAGGAGGAAAGGGAGAGAACAGGGTGAACCGACTGAACCACCTAGGCACCCCCCTTAAAAAAGTTTTCGACTAGATAGTCTTTGAGGGCCCTTCAGCCCTGAAGTTCTTAGCTTGAGAACCTGCTGTGAGCCAGGTGCTAAGGAGATACAAAGAAGCAAAAGTTCTGGTTCCCACCTTAAAGAGTTCCTGGTCTGGTAAGAGAGTTGAGATAAGGGGCGCCTGGGTGGCTCAGTGGTTAAAGCCTCTGCCTTCCGCTCAGGTCATGGTCTCTGGGTCCTGGGATCGAGCCCCACATCGGGCTCTCTGCTCAGCAGGGACCCTGCTTCCCCCTCTCTCTCTGCCTACTTGTGATCTCTGTCTGTCAAATAATAAATAAAATCTTTAAAAGAAAAAAAGAGTTGAGATAATATGATGCTTTAGCAGAAATGCAGGCATTGTGAAGGAAGAACCAGGGAATAGCTTTGAGAAGAGGCAAATACCTCAACTGCAGTAATAAGAAGAGTCTTTGTAGATTCTGAGGTGACATTTTTCCAAAGTTTTCCCTGGAAGAGGAATTCTCTACCCTCTCCTTCTTCAAGGTTCTGCAGGGAGCCCTGCTGGGAGACAACCCTGCTTGTGAGCCCGAGACTGAATGCAGGGGTGGCTGCTACCTTCTCCATTCCTTTGTTAAATATGCCTTCTCCTTCCAGCCACTGTCAGACCACGGGATGATGTGGCCCACAAGCAGCTCTCAGCATTTGGAGAGTATGTGGCTGAAATTCTGCCCAAGTATGTCCAGCAAGTTCAGGTAATATTCACAATGGTTGTTTGGTCATGGGTCAAGAAAGAACCATGTTTTCAGGGCATGTAGGAGTAGGCAGCCTCGTGTCAAAGAAACCAGTCTCTTCTCTGCCACTTGGTGTTCTTTCTCTGTTCTAAACCAGGAGACTCCAGCTGAAGTTAGCTGCTCTTTCAATAGCTCTTTGTTCCTTCTTTTCTCCCTTTCCATGTCTGCAGGTGTCTTGCTTCAATGAGTTAGAGATCTGTATCCATCCTGATGGAGTCATCCCAGTGCTGACTTTCCTCAGGGATCACACCAATGCACAATTCAAGTCCTTGGCTGACTTGACAGCAGTGGACATCCCCACTCGGCAGAACCGTTTTGAGGTCAGTCGGGAAATTTGAGAAGATTTGGTGGGTAAAGAAGAGGGACTACAAGTCCCAGAGTAATAGCTACCAATGGGAGCCGCAGGCCTCCTTAGTTTTAGTTCAGGTCAAACAATACAACACAGCAGTTAAACTAGGGCCGCAGATCAAGCAAACCTCAAGTTTGAGTCCTAGCTCTGCCACGAATAGGCTACGTTTTTAACTTCAGACATTTTAATTTTTCTAAGCTTAAGATTTCTTTCTTTCTTTTTTAAGGTTACTTATTTTTTTTGAGAGAGAGCACGCATGCACAAACAGGGTAGGGACAGAGGGAGAAGCAGACTCCCTGCTGAGTGGGGAGCCTGATCCCAGGACCCTGAGATCATGACCCAAGCCAGAGTCAGATGCTTAACCTATCAAGCCACCCAGGGACCCCTAAGCTTTACATTTCTTATGTTCAAAATAAGAATAAAATTGTCCCTACCTCATAGAGTGGTTGTGAGGATGAAATGAGATAGTACAAGTAGACTTCCAGCACATGGGATGTTCTTAATACATTTAGCTGTTGATATTTACTGATCATCTATTTGCTAGATCTTGGGATTAAAGGGGAAGTAATACCCAATACCTGCCTTCAAGGAGTCCCCCCAACTCTGGTGAGGGAGAAGGACACATAAAGAGCTGACTGTGATAACATGTAATGCGTGGGATGTTAGATGATAGGAGAATACAGGAGGGGCACTCAGTTCTGTCTGGGATGCTTTGAAGAAAGAAAGAGTGTTTGTGCTGAACCTTCACGGATGACCAAGAGACCAGGAATTAGCCCAGTAAGGACTGGGGCTGGGAGAGGGGAGTCCAGAGTCATCCCAGACAGAGGGAATAGCATGAGCAACGACAAGCATGCTGACACGCTAAGCTGTAGCGTGGCTTAGGCCTTCAGAAGTAGTTCTAAATATAGGAGAACCTTGAGGTTTTTGAGCTTTAGGACGGAAGACACGTTACAGGTAGAATCCTAACCCACCTTGTATCCTCGTTATTGATGTTCTCACTCAGGGACTCCCACCCTAGACCCTGTACTGTAGCCATCTTGGTCTTCCAGCTCCTTTTGCTCTTCCTAGATTGTTTACAACCTGCTTTCTCTGCGCTTCAACTCTCGGATCCGTGTGAAGACCTATACAGATGAGCTGACACCCATTGAGTCCACGGTTTCTGTGTTTAAGGCAGCTAACTGGTATGAGAGGGAGGTGAGTTACTGGACATGGCGGATCCTGTCTTTAGGCCAGAGTTGCAGAATTGGCTGAAACTCTTGTATGCAGTGCATCCTCAGCCCTATGTTGGTCATGATGGACTAGTTGCCTGAGGGCCTCTTTTTTTTTCTAGATCTGGGACATGTTTGGAGTCTTCTTTGCTAACCACCCTGACCTAAGAAGGATCCTGACAGACTATGGCTTTGAGGGACATCCTTTCCGGAAAGACTTTCCCCTCTCTGGCTACGTTGAGGTAGAAGGAACCATGGAACTGGGACAGCAGCCTCAGTGAAAGACTGGCAGGGAACCTGGGATATTCTGGGCATGGCGGGAAATATGGTCTGTGTATTGTGGTGGGCCTAAGAGCATAGGCTCGGGGCGGGGAGAACATAGGCTCTGGATTCAAATCCTAGCACCACTTCTGTAATTCTGGGGCCTGTTATTTAATTTCTCTATGACGATTTTCTTAGCTTCAAAATGGGAACAGTAGTACTTAACTAATAAGATTTATGGTGAGTTGAATGATGTATGCGTATAGCCTGGTGTCTTGTAAATACTCAGTTGACATTAGCCATTATCGTAATGATCATTTTAATGACCAAGGCGACCTTGAGGACACACTTCGTCTGTTCACAAGATCTAAAAGCGAAGGACCATTTTACCCTGCCCTGGACCTCTGAGAAGGCAGCTGACAGGGAGGACACTAAACGTTTAGCCCTTGAGAATGCTCAGAGGCAGGATAATTAACATGTGACTACAAAGGCCTTAAGGAGAATTCCAGTGCTTTGCTTTACCACCTTTGCTACAGGTTGTTCATGAGCAGGAAGATGGTCTATTGCATACATAAACTTGTGATTTTGTAGCAAAGTAACTTTTCAGAAATGTTGAGATAGTAGCCATCCACCTTTTCTCCTCAGTACCCAGAAATGCCTGTTTTCTCAGTGTTTTGCATGGGCCCATTTGCTTCTCCAGCTGCTTCTGGTTAGGGCTACTTCCCTCTCCTTGTTTTCACGGTCTCCCTTATCTGGTTGCCTCTTCACCCCACCACCAGTTTGTCTTTACCTTATCCAGCTGATCCTCCCACCAAGAAAAGCATCCCAAATTCACTGCCTTGCATCTTGAGTGATAATGCCAAAAGCCACGTGGTCAGAACTTGAGTGCTTGCCAGTTTAGGGTCACTCTTTTCAGCCACTGACTTGCTTCCTAATCCTGGGCTGATGCTCGCCATTTCTTTGTAAGTATGGATGGGTAAGCAAAGTCATTTGTGCTGGAAAAGGAGCTCAGAGTTTATGTGGGCATGGTGAGCAGGGGAGCCTGGCTGGGTGACGGCAGGCCATTTTGGACTAAGGGTAGGATGTGACTTGATCGGTAATCATGTGTGTGGACACTTGCTGACAGAGGCTGGGATCACACTCAAGGACAGAGAAGTAATGCGGTTGGTGAAGTCACCTGTGCCTGTGGAAAAGGAGGCTCCTTAGCGGCTCAATAGCTCTGAACGAGGTCTTCCTCAGTGCTTAAGCCTGTCTTTCTCTTCTGCAGTTACGCTATGACGATGAGGTGAAGCGGGTGGTGGCTGAGCCAGTGGAGTTGGCCCAGGAGTTCCGCAAGTTTGACCTGAACAGCCCATGGGAGGCTTTCCCTGCCTATCGCCAGCCCCCTGAGAGTCTCAAGCTTGAAGCAGGAGACAAGAAACCTGAAACCAAGTAGCTCCAGCGAAGGCATGTGGATACTAGAAAGCGCTTTATCTATAACTGAGCATCCCTGTAAATAAACTCCTGAGACTAACCATTTCTTGTGTGCTTAATGGTAGAAATGAAGCTTGACTTGGGAGAGGGGAGGTTCAGCAGTTTTTCCCGTCTTCCTTAAAGTGAATACCAACCCAGGAATCTCTTTTAATGGGACTAAGTAGTACAGTTGCAGACATGGTGACCTGCAGGCCTGGACGTACTTCTGAGAGAGGGACTCTGGAGCTGAAATGGAAAGTTCTCACTGTCCACAGGGCTTAGGATGGGTGTGGCACGGCATCTCCTGAAAGCTGGAGGGCCCTCAACAACTGCAGGAGAAAACCCCTGGCCACTGCAGACTGGTGGCAGCTGACGATCGAGGGGTCTGGGTGGAACCCAGGAAACCCCCACTCATCCCATCCAAACATCCATAGGGTTCCATGAGCCAAAGCTCATTTTTGAGTCTTGAACCCCATATCCTGCTCCCTACAATCTAACAGCCCATCATGTTTGGGCTAAGGTAATCTTCCTAGACTCCAGCCAGAGCTAAGAATGTTGTAAGCAAGCAAAGGAGGTCCCAAGGCTGGCGCAAAAGATACTCAGAAGCTGCAGATCTGTCTTCTGGGTGACAGGACTCTACCCTAGCCGGCCTGTGGTCTGTATGGCTGGTGGCTGAGTGCCTGAGGTGGAAGTGCTCAGCTCTGCTGGTCCATGGGACCACCCAGCCAGCCCATCATGTAGTTGGAGAACCACTGCAGTTCCAGAACCAAGCTTTGCAGCTGATGCTGTTGGCTGCTGAGGGGGTCCCTGGAGGCTGGGCTGGGCTGGACTGGACTGGGTGTTAGAGCCTGAGCTCAGCTACAGGATACTTTGGGGGTGAGGACAGATAGTAAGGTAGTGTTACCGCCTGGGCTCTTTCCTACCTCTTGGGAGGGCCAAGCTAAAGCTGTTTGCTACCAAGCACCGTTTTTCTAGCAAGCAAGCATCCCGCCCATCTGGACAGGAACAGGCTGAGGGCTTGAGAAGCCGGAGCCAGGCTCCTACTGCCAGCAACTTAAGATTCCACATTTCCACAGGACGGAAGGTCCTGGGAAGTCAGAGCCAGCCCCTCCCTGTTTAGCATTGAAGACTGACACACAAAATAGGGAACGCCTGAGCAGCCTGCAGTGGAAAGTTGGAGTCGTGTTGTGTGACAGGCGGATGCAGGAACAGAGAGCAGCTGGGGAGAGGAAGACTGAGAGGACGTGGTGGGGTATGGCTGGGACCATGCAATTCCTGGCTTGGCTAATAGTAGCCATTTGCCTTCTCCCTGGGGTGACTACAACCCAGCACCATCCAGGTACGGGGCTTTAGGGTGGGGTGGATGGGAGCCAAGGAATGCTGCCTGCTGATAGCAGTTAAAGTTGGTTCTATCTGAACCTAGCAGGGCCTATGCACCGTGGGCACAGTGGCAGATTAAGCTGTGCAGCAGGGGTTAATAGTCTGGGCCCTCACCCTGGAACCAGAGAGGTCCAAATGAAGGGAGGTAGTCCCAAGTGCCCTCAACACCAGCCCTGGACAGAGGTGGGCGGTGCCCTTATTCTAGATGTGCAAACAGGACCTCTGGACCTGCCCTGGGCTCGGGACCATCATTCTAAGGTCTGGGCAGCACACCAGAGTGTGAGATGAAGGAAGCTGCAGCAGACAACCTGCCTTGGCTGGCTTCCCTGCCTTCCGCATGATCACTACTGAGGGGCAAGGAAGGAGCAGATTTCTTCCTAAAGGGGTCCTCAACCCTTGGGGAGAGTCACTGGCACTGTCTTAGGTCACATTGTCCCAGATGATTATAGGGAGGGGAAGTGAAGTGTCTTGTGACCCAGTGGTCAGGAGTTCTTTGCCAAGGGAACTGTAGAAGTTGAAGGAGGAGTCCTGGACATTTGCCAAGGTGCTATCTGGGTTTGGGATGATGATTTGGGGATCACAAGACCTATGCCTCGGAGGGTGAATGTCAATGTGTGTGTGTGCGTGTGTGCGCGCGCATGCACGCGCATTTAAAGGAAGGGGAACATGGGATGGTCTTCCTGGTTTTGTAGATAGAAGAACCTCTAGGCCTCTCTACCACATAGCTAAGGGGCACCTCTGGGAGGCTGGGGTATTCAGGGTGGAGCTTGGCAGGAGCCTGATTCCTTTCTGCTGCCCCAGGGCAGCCCATGGACAGCGCCAGCGTGGGAGGTGGCCTGCAGGAGCCAGAGGCCCCGGAAGTGATGTTTGAGGTCTTTCCTCCAGCCTGGGATATGGGGGAGGGAGTGTCCAGAGGTCCCTAAGCTCAGGGTTGGGAAGGGGGATGTCTTAAGCTAGGCCTGCTGGGCGGGGGAGGGGGGCAACCCAGCATGGGTCCTATTGCCTGCTTATGCTCCCCCACACCCAGCCCACTCTTGCTCCCTGCCCTGCCCCCAGACCCCAGCCCACCCCTTACATGGCTCCCCTTGCAGCTACTCTGGGCTGGGCTGGAGCTGGATGTCATGGGGCAGCTGCACATCCAGGATGAGGAACTGGCATCCACACGCCCAGGCCGCCGACTCAGGCTCCTCCTGCAGCACCACGTGCCCGGTGACTTGGAGGGTGCTAAGCAGCGGCTGCAGCAGTTCCAGGATCTGCGGAAAGGGCCTCCTCTTAGCCCTTGGGACTTTGAACATCTGCTTCTCACAGGCTTGTCCTGTGTCTACCGGCTCCACGAGGCTAGTGAGGCTGAGGAGAGGGGTCGCTGGGCCCAGGTCTTCGCCCTGCTAGCACAGGAAACACTCTGGGACCTGTGCAAGGGCTTCTGCCCCCAGGGGAAGCCCCCATCTTTGGGGCCCTGGGCCTTGATCCTTGACCTCTTTCCCTGACCCTCCCCTTTCATCTACCAACCCACCACTGCCCCCCAACCCGTGGCCCAAGCCAGACCCATCCTGGGCAGTGGCTTCCATCTGGCACGTGGTCCTTCCCACTGTGTTCAGGTCTCTGGGCTTAGATTGTACCCTGGAACCCAGTTTACCCCTTCCCCATTTTCTTCCCTGAGCCCTGGGAGGCTAAAAACCTGGGTCTCAGGCATCAGGCACAGAGCTAAAAGCAGGACTTGCAGGTGTGTGTTGGAGGTCAGGGTTGAGAAGTATGTTCAAGAGATGCTGAAAAGAAAGCTGCCCCAAGGAAGGCCAAGTCAGATGCTCCAACTCCTACCCTGGCAGTCTGTGACAAGTCTTGCAGAATCTATGGGGACCTTGTGAATGCGCACCACCCAGTCCTAACTTACATACCCCTTTTAAATCCCAACCAGTGCTCTGGAGTCCCTGTGCCCCATGTTCCCCGTCTAGTCTAGAATAGACTGGACATTTTTAGTTTGGTCTGTTGGAGGAGTGGAGGTAAGCAGGTGGAAGCACGTTACCTTTCCTTGGCTGGGGGTGCGGGGGTGGAGGGGTGGAGTTGTGGGGTGGAGGGGGTGGGGGAGCAGGTGTTTTGGTCCATCTCAACAAGGCTCAGATGAACACCTCGGAGGGGGAAGAGATGCTGCGAGGGGACTGACTGAGACAAGCTGAACCTGGCTGATGTAGTCCTGATTCTGTGTAGCTGTCCCATAAAATGTTCTGTTCTGGCCTGCAGCCTGTGTCTTTTTATGCCCAAGTAAGTTGTTTAACCCCTGCCCTGGGCGAATCACCTTCCCTGTCCTGGGAGGGCAGGAGGTGGGGTAACCAGGTGTCAACCGCTCATCCCCCATAACCCTGCTAGAAGAAGGAACGTTCTGTTTCCTTGAAGGGAGCAGGGTGTGGTCCCTTGTCACGAGAAAGAACCAGCTGCACCCAGAGTGACGTCGTAGGTCTGTGGGAAGGAGGTAGAGGGAATGACTGGAAAGGAACGTGAAAGGGAGTCCCTGAGGGGTTGGGCGAGTCGGGTTCCGTTCAATCACATTCCCATCTCCTCGCCCACCCAGGGCCTGACCAGATCCTGCCCTCGGCCTTCCGCCCCCCACCGCGGTCTGCAGTAGTCCGTGCCTTCCCGCCCCGCCGGAGACCACAGCGTCGCCGAGAGGACAGAGCGCAGGACCCCAGGCGGACAGGCGCCGGCGCAGGCCCACTTTATTGGCAGAGTCAGCCGCACGGAATGGGCCATCATGCTCGCGCCGGCGGGTCGCTCGGGCCGCGGCCCGGCTCCGCATGCACGCCCCGGGCCGCCCCGGGGCTCGTCTCTCCGGGCGGGGCTCAGAGCTCCGGGGGCCCGAGGCCCGGCTGGCCCGCGGGCGCGAGGTCGGGGTACACCAGGAAGCCGGAGAAGGTGATGTACTTGCCGTGGTTGCTGTAGGCGCCGTAGCCGTCGTGATCGTGGCTGAGCAGCCAGACGGCGTCGCCGCGCCGCAGCGCCAGCATCACGCTCTGGCTCTGCATCTCGCGGCGCCGGGACGCGCCGTCGTCGTAAATCATGGCCTGCACCTCGTCGCGGTTCTTCATCAGCTTCACCGACAGCGTCTTGCGCGGCAGCTTGCCCAGCGTGAAGGAGAAGAAGTAGGCGCCCGGCAGGCGGCAGCGGAACACACCCGCCGCCGCGTCGAAGTCGCCGCCGATGTTGACGAGCTCCGTGTCGAAGGCGAGCGGCCGGTGCCGCGGCCCAGGGCCCGCGTCCGAGCCCACCAGGCTGCGCGTGCGCGCCGCCGAGAAGGCCGAGCGCGGCTCGCGGGGCGCGGGCGGCCCGCGCGCAGGCGCGTCGGCGTCGGCGTACACCAGGTAGCCGCTGAAGGTGGCGCCCGGGGCGCCGAGCGCGTACTGCGGGGCGCCGTGCAGCCGCAGCCACACCGTGTCGCCGTAGTCGAGCTGCAGCATGGCGCTCTGGCTGGCGGCGCGCCGCGCGCCGGGCCGCCGCTGCTCGTCGAAGGCCAGCGCCTGCACCTCGTCGCGGTTGCGCACCAGCATCACCGACAGGCTCTTGTGTGGGGCCTTGCCGGCCGTGAAGGAGAAGAAGTAGGCGCCGGGCACGCGGCAGCGGAACTGGCCCGTGGCCGCGTCGAAGTCGCCGCCGATGTTCACGTACACCTTGTCGAAGGTCACCGCCATCTCCGATGTGCCCTCCAGGGGGGTGGTGCGTGCCGCCGAGAAGGCCGAGCGCAGCTCTGTCGAGCCCGCCGCCGCGGGCCCCAGGGCCCAGCAGGCGGCAGGGCCCAGCAGGCCCAGCAGGAGCAGCAGCATGGTGCCTGGGAGGGGAGGCAGAAGGGGAAGGAGATGGGGCTTGTGCAGGGGCTACCCGCAAACGCCCAGAGTTCCGAGACTGGGAGGCGCTGCTATTTTCACAGCCTGCCCCTGACCCACAACTAGGACTCTGTTTCCTACGCAGCTGGACCAGGTCAGCCGTTCTCAAGCTTCAGCGGGCCTCAGTGTCATGTAGACGGCTTACTAGAGCACACGTTGTTGGGCCCGCACCCCCAGAATTTCAGTAAGTTTAGGATGAGGCTTGAGAATTTGCATTTCTAACAAATTCCAAGTAATGCAGATGCTGCTGGTCCAGGGACCGCACTTTGGGAACCAGAAGATTAAGCCAGTGAATCTCCTCTTTTTTTTTTTTTTTTTTTTTTTGTAAGAAACGAACCCCTTTCTCAAGTGAAGGCTCACACACCTGTAACACAGATACAAGCAGAAATGCTTTGGTGGAAGGGGCCTGTAACCCATCAGCTGGGTTTACCCCCTCCCCACCTTGGCACCACAGAGGGTGGTCAGGGCATCTGTTTCTTTCAGCCTGATTTGCTAAATTTTCCTGTGGCTATTCTATGGACCTTGGCCTGCCCCTCACTCAAGCACTAGTTCTCTATACTGATGGCCACTGTTTCAACCCCCACATGGACAGGAAAGGAAATAGCTGCTCATTGACCCCTTTCCTGGCCTCTGACCCACAAGGGTCAGCCACCACTTTGGACCTCTGGACTCCCCAGGGGCCCTTCTTGCAGCAAAGAGGTCAAAACAGCTGGGCTTTGACATAGCTCTGTCTGCACCCCTCAACCTCCCATGGGTGAAATCAGAGTAAGACTCTTTCCTCTGGGCTTGAGGGCTGGTCCCTGAGCAGAAGAAGAGAATCAGAGGCTCCCATGAATAGAGAGGGGGAGCAACAACTGCAACAAAGCTTTGGCAAGGCTGTGAGGTCAGCAGCTTTGTTCCTCAGTAGTGGTGGAGGGAAAGACTGACAGCTAGACCTGGGCTCAGTTCCTGGCTCTACCACTTAAATGTGTGAAACCTTTGGCAAGGTCCTTAACTTCTCTGGGCATGGCTTCTTTTATGTAAATAGGGAGACCTGCCTCAGTCTTACTGTGAGGATACTCTGAGGTGGCAGGTGCAAACCCCATTTGTGAATGGTAGTGTTGCCCTGGTGTGCAGGTGCTTCTCAGACTTGAGAAAAGTGATCTGGTCAAGTTCTTGACATGAGGAGTTAGGGACTCAGTAACTCCTACCCCTGGGAGCTTGTGAAGGCAATGCTTAACTCCATCATGCTTCTGTAGGGCATAGGCTTTGGAGCTTGAATACCCAAAGGCCCTGAAGTGGAGACAAAGTGGGAAAGAAAATGAGCTGACAACAGCCTGGGAAGTACTCCGGGAGTGTGTGTAGCTCTGTGGCTCTTAGAGACACTGGGGGCTTGCTGAGAAGGACTGCCAGGGGCAGAGCACGCTCCAAAAGGACATTCGTCTTCGGGTAGGTGGGCACTAGAATCTAGCCCACATTCTACTTGCCCTACAGTGTAGAGCTGCTGCACCTGGGGAAGTGTGCCTTTTTCTAATTAGGACCCCAAGTCTCTAACCCTTCTCTCCCTACAGAGGAGGGACCTTTTGTAATTCCTACAAAGGCACCCCGTGGGGTAGCCGATACCCTTGATGAGGGCAGGGAGGAAGAAGGGGACCCATCTACAGTGATGAAGATTGCACCTCCTGAGTATTCCCTTTCATAAAGCTCTTTGGACACATCTGGTCTTGCAGCAAAACTTTGAGACAGGTGGGCCCTCTCCCACTTTATAGATGAGAAATTCAGGCCCAAACAAGGAAAGAATTTTGGCCCAAGGTAATCATGCACACTGAGGCACCCTTGAACCGAGGTCTTTTGACTCCAGATTCAGTGTGCCTTCCTCTCCACCACCTTTTTTCCTCATAGACACAGATATTTCCAGGGAACCTGTCCTTAGCCTCGGTTTCCCTTTTTTGGAAAAATAGGAGAGGGGAGAAGTGGAATGAATCTTGGGATTCAGGGTGAAAGAGAAAGAAAGCAAAAAGGAAATGAAGCCAATGAAACAAGCAAGAACTCTAGCGTTTTGCCTTCCTGGAGTATGGGAACATCTCAGCTCTTTCTAACCCTACTCCTCCTTCTAGCAGGTCCTGCCCCTGGAGCACCTGCCCACCCTGCCTTCAGCGATCTCCCTGCAGAGTCTCGTGCACTCCACGAGGACCAGAGGGTCCTCCTGTGTGTACAGTACTCACCCCCTGCCCATTTCTCACCAGCACTGCCATTTCCCAGATCCCTACGTCCCCATCCTTCCTTAAACCCCCTTCCCCGACCCCAGGGCCGGTCAGAGGTGGGAGGGTGTCAGGTGGGCATCATAGCTCCAGGAAAGGAAATGGCTGTTCCTAGCTCTGTCCAGGTGAGGCTCAAAATAGTCATCTTCAAAGAGACGAAACTGGGACACGGAGACCTGGGCAGACCCAGAGCCGCGGAACCGACGGGGGCGGTGCCGCTATGTCAGGCGAAGGGGATCTCAGAGCCCCTCTCCTCGCCAAACCCCACTCCCCAATGACCCCCTCCTTCAAGCCTCGCTAAAACCTCTTCCCACCTTGAAAGACCCTCATGTTCCCAAGAAGATAAGCCCTCGTTTTACAGAAGCCAATTAATCCTTCCTCCTGAGAAAAGAAATCCCTCGGGAGGAGGTACCCTAGACGCCCCCCCCCCCGTCCGCCCCCCTGCCAACCTTCCTTCATCCATCCCTTCCGAGTGAAAGCCCTTGAGCTTCTTTCATGAAAAAGCTCTCAGGTCCTGCTTCTCAGCGATCAAGGAACCCGATTACCCCGGCGCCTTCGCCCGCCCCCGCTTCCACACGGGAGAAAGCTTGGCTCCCCGCCCCGGAGCTGCCCTCACCTGGCTGGGGGCGGCTGGAGGGTCGGGTCCGCTCCGAGCCAGCGATCCGGCTCGGGGCTGCTGGGTCTGGACTCCGGGCTCCCGGCTCCACACGGGCGCCGGGGCTGCGCACTGACCGCCCGCGCTGCGGCGGGGCCGGGCCTGGTGGCGGCGGTGGCGGCGGCGGGGCGCTGGGACCCTGGGACCCCGGGGCGGGCGCGAGGCAGCGAGGTGACAGGGAACGAGGACGGCTGAAGAGCAAGGCGAGCTGACCGGCGCGAGGAGCGGCAGGGGAGCCGCGGGAAGGGGGAGAGAGGAGGA